GAACATCCCACGATGTGTGCCAAAAATAAATAGAACATACTACAGTGTATGTCAAGAACAGACAGAACATCCCACGATGTGTGCCAACAATAAATAGAACTTACTACAGTGTATGTCAAGAACAGTCAGAACATCCCACGATGTGCCAACAACAAACATAACATACTACAGTGTATGTCAAGAACAGACAGAACATCCCACGATGTGTCAACAATAAACAGAACATTCTACAGTGTATGTCAAGAACAGTCAGAACATCCCACGATGTGTGCCAACAATAAATAGAACATACTACAGTGTATACCAAGAACAGACAGAACATCCCACGATGTGTGCCAACAATAAACAGAGCATACTACAGTGTATACCAAGAACAGACAGAACATCCCACGATGTGTGCCAACAATAAATAGAACATACTACAGTGCATGTCAAGAACAGACAGAACATCCCACGATGTGTGCCAACAATAAACAGAACATACTACAGTGTATACCAAGAACAGACAGAACATCCCACGATGTGTGCCAACAATAAATAGAACATACTACAGTGCATGTCAAGAACAGACAGAACATTCCACGATGTGTGCCAACAATAAACAGAACATACTACAGTGTATTTCAAGAACAGACAGAACATCCCACGATTTGTGCCAACAACAAACAGAACATACTACAGTGTATATCAAGAACAGACAGAACATCCCACAATGTGTGCCAACAATAAACAGAACATACTACAGTTTCTTCTTCTTCAGTCCTTCTGTCAGAAAACTTATATCAGGAGGCCGGTAGCCTTTATGAAAGCTATCGTGCAATCCATATCCTCTCGTGTACCATACAGTTTTGTCTTCAGTGTGGTTGGAACAGGCCAGATTGCGTCTCTGTTGTCAGCATACAGTTGACAGTGTTGGAGCACATGCTCAGCATTTTCGGGTGCCAGGCTGCAGAGACACGGTTCTGTATTTCCTACACCAAAAAATTTGAACATATGTTGACGAAATCTGTTGTGCCCAGTCCTTAGTCTGAATATAATGCACTGTCCCTCTATAGAGAGGCGATGAAGTGAGTCATGAGGGGAAAATCTGTTGTGGGTATCCAGCCACCTTTCTTGGATACTAGATTGTATTAATGTTTTCATCTCTTGGTGGGTGAAGTCGCTATTTGGTTTTACAATCTCTCCGCCATTTCATTGCCTTCCAAGCCACAGTGACCTGGAATCCACTGCAGTACAGATTGTTCTACTAAAGAGTCTAAGTAAATCAGCTGTTGCGTCAAGTCTACAAAGTGAGCGTCTTTTGGGTTAATAATTGCTTGTAGAACTGACATAGCATCAGTCAGAAAGACCACTCTGCTATATTTGCTGTACTGTTGTCCATTCAGGAAAGAACATGCCGCTAGAAGTGCTTTTGCCTCTGCTCTGTAATTGGAGGTATATGAACCTGTTGGTACAGCCTGGTTGATTCTTAAACCATTTAGGCATTCTATGTATATTCCTCCTCCTCAGTCTCTTACTGCTCTCTTGGCTGAACCATCTGTATACACTAGAACCCAACTCTGGTGTGGATAAAGTCTATTGATCTCTCCTTCTGTAGTTGATTTCATATCAGTGCTGCTCATTGATGATTTGGAGGAGATACCTGTTACAGTAGTTCTGACTGTTGGTAGGCTATCCCTAAGCCAGGGGGGGGGGGGGGCAGTCATTGTAAGGTTTAAAACTATCATCAAGGTACTATACGGTCATTTGGTTATAACCCTATCATCTGTCTAAGTGTAACATGGTCATCCGGGTATAACACTGCTGTTTAGGCATAACCCTCTCCATTGGGTATAACTCTGTCATCTGGGTTTAACATTGTCATCTGGAATTAACAAAAAACAAGTATGTACAACAGCGTAAACCAACAACAGACAGGACATTTCACAGTGTGTGCCAACAATAGATAGATAGTTGAAACTACAGTGTGTGTGCCAAAGTTGAAGAGAATTTTACACTTCAGCAATAGACATAAGGGGAATGGTCTTAGTGCATTTTCCACTCACAGAATGAAACAAGTAAGCTTAGGTCACACTGAGTTGTGAGTTAGATTATATTCACAGCACTCCGGACACATCCATAGGTGCTCAGTTTCCCTTCTCAACATATTTATCGGCGTCGCGCGGTTAATAGTGCCAGTCTTTTGCTGGTTGACAAGACTTCGTTTGCTTCTCATGCTTGGCTGTGTGGATCTTGATTCCCTATTCTCGTACTCAAAGCAGTGATGTGAACACGTTGCTTCTAAAACCATCGGAACGTCCTATCTCTCTAAAGGCATTGGCACCTACCAATCTGGTATCAGCTCTTTAATTATAAACAACACCTGCATGCCCTAAGACAAATATAGAGGTAACTGCACACAGGAGTTTTGCAATGACTCAATCCACTGCCTGCGTAACAAGCCTGCCTCGACACGCCAGATCATGCTTAAAGAATTGCTCAGCACACAATCGCGGGAATAGTCCTGTGATTCCAGTCACATGAAAGCTTGTGTCACCGCCATCACCATGCTGCGGGTAGTCATGGAGAAGGTATAGCTGGCTTCTTGAATTCTTCTTCATGAAGAGCGAGCTGTATATGCCCATGCACTCTAATGTCCTTGTAAAACAGCACATCTGTCTCCATGACTTGTCACTGATAAGCGCGCGTACATCGGCGTTGACAGCAGCACGATTGGGCTTTCGACAACTTCTATCAAGCGTCACGGCACAGGAGAATGTGAGCTGGTATCCATTCCTCACTTGTGAGGTTGTCATCCTCTGCACTAGCCAGCTATGATCTGAGATCCTTTTAACTCGGCCGCTTTTTTGCTGCTGCAGAGCATGTGATGCAAAGGGTGCTTCAGATCTGAGCTAGTCTTGAGGTAAGAATGAGATCTCCAGTGTTCACTCTGTCAGTGGTAGATTGGTTGTGTTGCCTCTGTAAGGGATAGACTGGCTGTGTTCAGTCCGTCAGAGGTAGACTGACTGTATTCAGTCCATCAGTGGTATACTGACTGTGTTCAGTCCATCAGTGGTATACTGACTGTGTTCAGCCCGTCAGTGGTATACTGACTGTGTTCAGTCCATCAGTGGTAGACTGACTGTGTTCAGTCCGTCAGTGGTAGACTGACTGTGTTCAGTACATTAGTGGTACACTGGTTATGTTCAGTACGTCAGTGGTAGACTGGTTATGTTCAGTACGTCAGTGGTAGACTGGTTGTGTTGCCTCTGTAAGTGGTAGACTGGCTGTGTTCAGTCTGTCAGTGGTAGACTGATTGTGTTCAGTACGTCAGTGGTAGAATGGCTGTGTTCAGTACGTCAGTGGTAGACTTGATTGTGTTCAGTACGTCAGTGGTAGACTGGCTGTGTTCAGTTCATCAGTGGCAGACTGGCCGTGTTCAGCCCGTCAATGGTAGACTGGCCGTGTTCAGTACGTCAGTGGTAGACTGGTAGTGTTCAGTACGTCAGTGGTAGACTGGTAGTGCTCAGTACGTCAGTGGTAGATTGGCTGTGCTCAGTACGTCAGTTGTAGACTGGTAGTGCTCAGTACGTCAGTGGTAGATTGGCTGTGCTCAGTCCGTCAGTGGTAGACTGATTGTGTTCAGTACGTCAGTGGTAGAATGGCTGTGTTCAGTACGTCAGTGGTAGACTTGATTGTGTTCAGTACGTCAGTGGTAGACTGGCTGTGTTCAGTTCATCAGTGGCAGACTGGCCGTGTTCAGCCCGTCAGTGGTAGACTGGCCGTGTTCAGTACGTCAGTGGTAGACTGGTAGTGTTCAGTACGTCAGTGGTAGACTGGTAGTGCTCAGTACGTCAGTGGTAGATTGGCTGTGCTCAGTACGTCAGTGGTAGACTGGTAGTGCTCAGTACGTCAGTGGTAGACTGGTAGTGTTCAGTACGTCAGTGGTAGACTGGCTGTGAGATCATTATTAAGTTACAATACAAGATCAAACCTAAGTGAGAACTGAAAAAAGAAGACCAACACACAAAATCTGCAGTATAATAAGCTACAAAATAATTTGCAGAACTGTTGTAAGCTACAACACACTTATAACAAATTCAAAACGCCTAAAACACAGCACACAGGTAACAAACAAAATATACAGGTTAAAAAAAAACATTCAAAATACACAGGTGACAAACACAAAACAGGTAACAAACACAAAACACAGATGACAAGTGCAATACACATAATGACTGAACAAGCCATGTGTGAGCACTGAGAAGAAATCATACATAATGACTGAACAAGCCATGTGTGAGCACTGAGAAGAAATCATACATAATGACTGAACAAGCCATGTGTGAGCAGTGAGAAGAAATCATACATAATGACTGAACAAGCCATGTGTGTACATAATGACTGAACAAGCCATGTGTGAGCACTGAGAAGAAATCATACATAATGACTGAACAAGCCATGTGTGAGCACTGAGAAGACAAAACACAATGACCTAGCCATGTGTGAGAAGTGAGGAGAAAATAACGGTAGCAGCAGTTTCTGAACACTAAGGAGAATTCAAAGGCAATGATTGAGAAGTAGTCATATGTGAATCCTGGCATTCAAATGGCTGTGTGTTTCGTGCTTCTCTTATAACACAAGAGGTCACTACAAGGCATTTTTTCCAGTTTATCACTTTTTCAATATGTTCATTTTTGTAATGTTCAGCATTTGTAGCATAGATTACACACAAAATGTGTGTCATTTGTAAACAATTTGGATACTCCTAACACAATGTTATAGGGTCAGGTCTATTTAAAATTACATTTTATTAAGTAATTTAAAAACGTAACAAAACCAATACACACGTAACAAAACCAATATGCTGGTAACAAAGTCAATAAATATAAACACGATGCAATAACAACTTTTTATTGACAACAAAACAAGATGTTCCTCAAAAGAATTTAATCACACAAATCTAATAAACACTGACAACCGCCACCAATGGTCAATGACAACCGCCAGCTATGGTCAGTTTAAGCATTCTGGGGTGGACTGATCAGTCTCCATAAGCCGTAGATGGAGGAGATGGTAGCAACAGCTGAACCAATGACAGCAAACCTGTAGATGGTAACATCTGCTCCTGCCTTCTGCCAGACAAGCAGACCATCGTCTCTCTGTTAAAAAGAGAATCAAAACACAATTGATTGATCTAGCCATGTATGAGCAGTGAGGAGAAATCAAACAGTGATTAAACCAGCCATGTGTGAGCAGTAAGGAGAAATCAAACAGTGATTAAACCAGCCATGTCTGAGCAGTAAGGAGAAATCAAACAGTGATTAAACCAGCCATGTGTGAGCAGTGAGGAGAAATCAAACAGTGATTAAATCAGCCATGTCTGAGCAGTGAGGAGAAATCAAACAGTGATTAAACCAGCCATGTGTGAGCAGTGAGGAGAAATCAAACAGTGATTAAACCAGCCATGTGTGAGCAGTGAGGAGAAATCAAACAGTGATTAAACCAGCCATGTCTGAGCAGTGAGAAGAAATCAAACAGTGATTAAACCAGCCATGTGTCAGCGGTAAGGAGAAATCAAACACAATGATTGATCTAGCCATTTGTGAGCAGTGAGGATAAATCAAACAGTGATTAAACCAGCCATGTCTGAGCAGTGAGGATAAATCAAACAGTGATTAAACCAGCCATGTCTGAGCAGTGAGGATAAATCAAACAGTGATTAAACCAGCCATGTCTGAGCAGTGAGGAGAAATCAAACACAATGATTGATCTAGCCATTTGTGAGTAGTGAGGAGAAATCAAACAGTGATTAAACCAGCCAAGTGTTAGCAGTGAGAATAAATGAACACAACGATGGAACCAGCCATGTGTCTGCAGTAAGGAGAAATCAAACTCAATGATTGAATTCGCTATGTGTGAGCACTGAGAAGAAATCATACATAATGACTGAAAAAGCAATGTGTGAGCACTGAGAAGAAATCATACATAATGACTGAACAAGCCATGTGTGAGCAGTGAGAAGAAATCATACATAATGACTGAACAAGCCATGTGTCAGCACTGAGAAGAAATTATACATAATGACTGAACAAGCCATGTGTGAGCACTGAGAAGAAATCATACATAATGACTGAACAAGCCATGTATGAGCACTGAGAAGAAATCATACATAATGACTGAACAAGCCATGTGTGAGCACTGAGAAGACAAAACACAATGACCTAGCCATGTGTGAGAAGTGAGGAGAAAATAACGGTAGCAGCAGTTTCTGAACACTAAGGAGAATTCAAAGGCAATGATTGAGAAGTAGTCATATGTGAATCCTGGCATTCAAATGGCTGTGTGTTTCGTGCTTCTCTTATAACACAAGGGGTCACTACAAGGCGATTTTTTCCAGTTTATCACTTTTTCAATATGTTCATTTTTGTAATGTTCAGCATTCGTAGAATAGATTACACACAAAATGTGTGTCATTTGTAAACAATTTGGATACTCCTAACACAATATTATATGGTCAGGTCTATTTAAAATTACATTTTATTAAGTAATTTAAAAAAAAATTTGATTACTATCTTAAAAAGCTACATTTTTGTATTTTTTAACATACTTAAATTTTAATATTCTAAAAAAAATATTTAGAAACATATTTGAAGTAAATAAACTAGACCTGACCCTAAACATAGGTTGAAAGTTCATGAATCAATCATCTGTTTCTCAATACCTCTGGTTTTTTGTTGAAATTTTAGCTGTCTAAGTACATGTTGTTTTTTCATCAAGATGGTGGCTGTTGCCATGGCAACCATGTTTTTTTAAAACTTGAAGTCTGCAAATTTAGCAACATACATCCCTACAAATGACCATTAAAAAATATTTGGTCTAATATTGTAAATATATAAAAAAAAAATTTTTTCCTGTAGTGACCTACTGTGTATAACACTATCACACTGGTACCACTGACATCTGGGTATACACTATCACACTGGTACCACTGACATCTGGGTATACACTATCACACTGGTACGACTGACATCTGGGTATACACTATCACACTGGTACCACTGACATCTGGGTATACACTATCACACTGGTACCACTGACATCTGGGTATACACTATCACACTGGTACCACTGACATCTGGGTATAACCTTGTATTTTGGATATTATTTCATCTGGATATAACAAAAACATAAGTAGGTACTACAATGTAGGTCAACAACATATAGCATGTACTACAATGTAAGTCAACAACAAACAGAACATACTACAGTGTGTGCCTACAACAGACAGAATGTACAACACTTTTTTCCAACAATAAATATAACATACTACAGTGTATGTCAAGAACAGAAAACATACCACAATGTGTGCCAACAACAAACAAAACATACTACAGTGTGATGCAGCACTATCATCAAGGTACAACACTGTTATCTTAGGATATAGCCCTATAATCTGGGTATAACCCTGTCATCTGTCTGGGTGTAACATAGTCATCTGGGTATAGGACTGTCACCTGGGTAAAGGGTTGTCAACCGGGTATAACACTGCTATTTTGGTATAACCCTCTCCATTGGGTATAACTCTGTACTCTGGATATAACACTATCATCTGGATATAGCACTGTCCTCTGGCTATAACACTGTCATCTGGATATAACAAAAACAAGTATGTACAACAGTGTAAACCAACAACAGACAGAACATTCAGTGTGTGCCAACAACAGACAGAGCATACTACAGTGTGCAAAACAACAGACAGAACATATCAGTGTGTGCCAACCTCAGATAGTACATACTGCAGTGTGTGCCAACAACAGACATCATGTACTACAGTGTTTATCAAAAGGTTATGTATTACAATGCAAGCCAACAACAAACAGCATGTACTACTGTGTTTGATAACTTATTATTTACTTCAGTGCAAGCCAACAACAAACAGCATGTACTACTGTGTTTGCTAACTTATTATTTACTACAGTGCAAGTCAACAACAAACAGCATGTACTACTGTGTTTGCTAACTTATTATTTACTACAGTGCAAGTCAACAACAAACAGCATGTACTACTGTGTTTGCTAACTTATTATTTACTACAGTGCAAGTCAACAACAAACAGCATGTACTACTGTGTTTGATAACTTATTATTTACTTCAGTGCAAGCCAACAACAAACAGCATGTACTACTGTGTTTGCTAACTTATTATTTACTACAGTGCAAGCCAACAACAAACAGTATGTACTACTGTGTTTGCTAACTTATTATTTACTACAGTGCAAGCCAACAACAAACAGCATGTACTACTGTGTTTGCTAACTTATTATTTACTACAGTGCAAGCCAACAACAGACAGTATGTACCAGTGTCTGCTAACAGGTTATGTACTACACTGTAAGCCAGCAACAGACAGTTATGTACTTGTGTGCTGAACTCACTTTGCTATTCAAGTGTACCAGAGGTCATAGGCATGATTCCCTACACCAGACATTGAGGCGCTAGATGATGATGATGAACGAACGAACGAACAAGCTTTATTTTTAAAGGGTTAAGAATTGGGCACGTAGGTCCGTCTAACATTCTGCCCTTCGAGGTCTCCCTCCATTCTTACAGCATTTCATTCACACATCAAGTAATATTAAAAGTTAGCAATAGCAAAAAAATAATCAATACAAGCACTGGAATGTGCACATTTTTAACTACAGTAAAACGTATTAGTTGTAACAAATCTAAGGAAAATGGGCGCTATTTTTCACATGATGATGATGACAGAGATGAGTTCAGACCACTTGAAGTTGTAAGACAAGTGCTTCTAGAGATTAAACAGACGACAGCGGTTTCACAGGTATTGTGAGACATAAGTGTGACCGGCCACTGGAGGTGAACCAATGGTAAAGTCAGTGCTCTCGGTCAGTGAGACAGAGTGGACGTGTGTGCCTTTGTTCGTAATAATGTGTGTTAGTTTATTTCACTGGAGCGTTTGAACTTTGGAAGTGGAATCTGGTGTATTATTTGGGGTGCTACAATTGAGTGTAGTTACTAGAGACAAAACGGTGAGATTTAAATACTATATGATTACTGTATTATTTGGGTGCTTATATGTGGTCAGTGCTGATGGCTGTTTATTTAACCTTGTGAGTCTTTTGGCAGTAGTACACTGTTACACCGCAGGTCAGCCTGGCTTATACAGCAATAATTGCTATTGCAGGCTATCTGTGACCTCTGGAATGGGCACATAGCCAAATGCATTATTATAGGTTACTTGTGACATCAGAAGTGGGCCCATATGCTGAATGTGTCTTGCATTAAGGACTCAGGTGAAGGCTAGGTGCCACCTTTTGAGGTAGAGCTGCCTTTGGAATCTGCCAGTGTGTATACTTCATAGAATTTAATAGACAATGTTAGGCTTTTAGCTGCCAATTCATCTTCCTAATGTGTTCATTTATGAATAAACTCAATATTTGCACTAGTATAGATGACTTTAAATAGTATATTTAGTACTGTTGTTCACGCTTTGTTATTCTAGCGTTAGTGGAATATGTCGTCGTCAAAATGTATCCGTGCTACCTCAATATTCTTTGGGGCCTAATTACTATTCGGTATTTGGCCGAATACTTGCGGTCAGGCCAAATACAAATAGTGGTTACCTTACACCCATTGCTGTATACACTGCGATGGACTGAAATAACTCTCTCATTACCACAACAGTTGCTGTTGTCTAAGTCTATTGTAGCGGGGGAAAGAAACTGTGACCGGATTGCACGGTACAGCAGCTGGCAAGGCCTTTGCCTGCTGACTCGACCGAGGCGTTACAGCAGAGGTTCTCTGAACTGGGTGCGTATGCCAGGGGTGCCGCGGAGAAAATCAAGAAACGCCGGCTATAAATTGCAGCATTGTTAAAGAAGGCATGAAGATACTTAAAAGTCAAAATTTAAATTGTCTTTCCTCGCCACTGTTGAAAAGAGTATTTCTCCTTGTTTTACACTCCAAGTGTATCATACTGCATAAAATGTCAACCGCAGCCTGCTAAATTTATCTTGAGGTGCGACCAATCCTCCATCTGTATTCGCGAAATTTTAAAGTGGAAAATGTGGTCTGTACAAACAATAGTAACAGTTAGCCTCGTCAAGTAAGCACTTATATTTAAAGGCAATGGGTTCTTTTTTGTTGCTTGTGTGTGAAAAAAAGAGAGAAAGAGAGAGAGATAGAGAGAGAGAGGAAGAGAGGGAGAGAAAGAATCATGAAAGATCAGGCATTTTTTAAAATTATTTCATGTCTTTGCCCAAATCAAATTCGAAGATATTGCTAACAAGAATATGAAGGTGCATTTAAATTACATCGAAAGAACGGCCGAGCGAAAGATGATTTAAATGCGAATTTGACTGCATTTATTCCTGTTTAACTTTGTTTCCGTTGGGAATAAACAGGCGCCAGAAGAAAAATACGTAAAAAAAAGTGGCCCTAACGGCTGCTTGGTTCCGTCCAAATTAAATAGTCACCTGGAATGCAATGATTCTGATTTTGTTCATGAAGGTTAAGAAACCTTTGAAACTGCGCTATATGTATTCAGGAAGGGTCATCCAGGATGGAGAGAATTTAAAAAAAAAAGGATATAATATCAAATTCATCCAAACACTTTCATCAATCTCAATAAAGACAACTGAACATAAAATGGGCACTGTTTAAAAAAAAAAATCTCGAGTTCTTGAGGCCACAGAGATATGGCTTCACAGAACAATGCTTAAAATACCTTGGACTGCACAAAAAAAAAAAAAAAAAGGGAGCCTGAAGACAACTAACCACAGACATCAGAAGGAGACAGTCATCATTTTTTGACCATGTTATGAGAAGAGGGAAAATGGAACATGTGGTGACCACTGGAAAGATATGTGGAAGGAAGGATAGAGACAGACAACGAGAGAAGATTCTTGACAGTCTTGTTGCATGTCATGGAGGTGTGTCAGCACACGAACTAATACATGCTGCAGGAGATCGCAGATTGTGGCGAGGTATAATCGCTCACACCAGTCGGCAAGGCACCTGATGATAATGATACACTATTTGTATTTGTATTCAGTCAAATAGTTGGTCCTGCTATTCGTATTCGGCCCTAGTAGGAATTCCAGATGTCGTCATGATGGTCGACTAGGCAACTTTTGCATTTTGATTGAAGTATAATCATCACCCAAGATACTTTTGCCAAGTATCACATATTTTAATGGGAGAGAAACCAACTTTACTACAGTAGTATAGTGTTTATGAATGGGTTATGTATTAAAGTGCAAGCCAACAACAGATAGTATGCACTACAGTGTTTGCTATAGATTGTGTATTACAGTGCAAGCCAACAACAGACAGTATGTACTTACACAGAACCGGGTTTGTTTCTCCATCAGCTGTTTGAACCTGGAATCATTTGGTACAGGATATCTGCCTTGTGTCACTCTGGGCAATGGCTCAGCCAATGATGACAAATGACGAAAGACAACTTTCCCCAGCATCTGTTCAATGATGCAGACATGTTTACAATCATGGACATCACCACACAAAAGAATTGTATAATACAATTCTTAAAGATTAAGTCCTTCCAGAACAAACCACCACACCAACAGTTTTTAATACAGACATGTCATTCCTTTAGGGACAAACCCTTTCAACATCAGTGTAAGGGTAGTTATTTATTATTAGGATAAAATGGAGCAGTGTAATGACTGGATAATAAATGGGAAAATTTATATATATATTTAATAAGAAAATATGCTCTAGAAATAAGACTGTTCAAAGTGAGAATGAGTGGAAAAGTTGCATGTCAAGGGAAATGTGAACTGTTGAGTAGAGCTCATGATAGAGTCAGAAAGTTGTATGCCAAGATAGATGTGAACTTTACGTAGACAGCGTGGCGGATGGAGGCAGTTGTGTGTCAAGGGACATGTTAGCAGTGAGTAGATTGCATAATGGATAGAGAAAGTTGTATGTCAAAGAAAAGTATACAGTGAGTAGGACACATGATGGAGGGAGAAAGGTGTATGTTGAGAAAATGTTTTTAAATGTAAGTAGAACATGAGACAGATGCCGAAAGCTCTGGTGATCATACCACGTGCCTCTATTTGGAAAATTGGCTCCTCCATAGTCTAGGTGTTCTAAGTCCAGAAGGCATCAATGTCCAGCATAACTTTATCTAAACAGTTTTATACTGTCACATGATTTTTTAAATTTTGATCATTAACATTTGTTTTTCTACTTCTCTTTTGCTTCCCCGTTGCGTTAGGATTTTTTAGTCACAGTTCACTGGATTAATTTCTTGATATTAACTTGACTGTAGTCACCTCTATTTTCCCTATTGTATGTCCAGCAAAATGTTGACTGTGAGTATAACGCATGACGAAGGGAGACTTGCTGGCAAATCATTTCTTCTACTGGGATCCAGGCGCAGAGACAAAACAAAAGAAGACAGGCTGTATTACGGCAACCAAGAAAGCAACTGTGTTTTGTGTGAAAGCGGCCGTTTGTGTAAAATATGTGTTGTGTTGAAATGGGTGTTTTTGTAATACGTGTTTCAGTAGTCACTTGTGTAATACATGTGTTGTGTATAAGCAGCAACCTATGTATTAAATAAGTTGTGTTGAGGTGGTCATGTATGTTATATATGCGTTGTGTTTAAGCAGCAACCTATGTATTAAATAAGTTGTGTTGAGGTGGTCATGTATGTAATATATGGTTTGTGTTTAAGCAGCAACCTATGTATTAAATAAGTTGTGTTGAGGTGGTCATGTATGTAATATATGGGTTGTGTTTAAGCAGCAACCGATGTATTAAATAAGTTGTGTTGAGGTGGTCATGTATGTAATACATGTGTTGTGTTTAAGCAGCAACCGATGTATTAAATAAGTTGTTTTGAGGTTGTCATGTATGTAATATATGTGTTGTGCTAAAGCGGTCGCTTGTGTAATAGACTGTGTGGAAGCGGACGTTTTTATAATAGATGTAATGTGTGCAAGTGGTCACTTGAGTATTGAAGCGGTCGCATGTCTAATACATGGGTTGTGTTGAAGCAGTCGCTTGTGTAATACACTGGTTGTGTTAAAGCAGACGTGTTTTTTTTATGTGATGTGTGGAAGTGGTCACTTGAGTAATATGTTTGTTAACTTGTGTTGAACTTGAAGCAGTCATTTGTGTAATGCACAGGTTGTGAATTATTTTGGAGTAACAGTAAGTATAACTCTGTGGTAGGCTGAAACAAATTTAGAATTTAAAGAAGGTTCATTAAATCATTGTTGTGTAGCTTCTTCTTTGTTCACCTGCTGTAACCTCCGACGGAAAGCCCTGGTTGTTTGTCCTTTTGTACTTTGGCTTTGTGTCAGGGCCGAGCTTTGCGTGTACATCCGTTTTACTGGAAAGGCAGTTGGTCTATTCTTGTTTCTCCCCACAAAGTGGCCCCTGCACAAATGTTATGTAACAATATTGGCTAATTTATAATTTTTATTGTTCATTGCAGTGTTTATGCCATAAAGCTAAAGCAAATTGTCCAGTTTTATTTTATTTCAGAACAGTAAAGAAACAGGCTTCTCAATTAAGTCAGCTTTCAAACACAAGACACATGAAAAGGTGAATAGTTATAAATACTTACATTGTAAATGTATATGTTGAACAATTATTGAACTGTTTTTTATTTGTATAAGTGTGTGTGTACATGTATATTAATATTGAGAGATACTTGTATTCTTTTTCAGGCTTGCATTATTAAAGTTATAATTTCGTATTTAGCAAGCAGACGCATGAAATAAATCGTGTCTGATGCCTTTTTAAATGTAAATTTTTCCCGATTGATTAAACCTTTTTTATAATGCATGCAGGATTATTTTTTGTTGATATATTATTTTTTATTTTTTTTTTCAAAGTTTTTCTGATCGTTATGGTTTGTTTAAATGAAATGACATTAAATCATTAATTATTTACATTGTAAATGTATACATTGCATGCTCAACTGAACTGTTTAAATAACTACCTACTTAATTATTTGCGTGTATTTTTGCGTCTATATTAACAGGTGTATTTTTTTTCTTTTTCAGGCTAGCTAGTACATTTTTCTTGACTAATAAAAAACTGTTTTAAAAATTTTTAGTAAAAGTACTGATAGTTAATTTTTTTTCTTTCTAACAGGCTGTGAAGAGAGCAGAGACAAATGATGTAAACCTGTGAGAATGATACAAACCTAACCACTGGTAGTGTGAGAAGAGCAGGACTGACGATTTAGGTACTTGTGATACACAATAGAGATTAACATATTTACAGACAATAAAGTATAAAGAGTACTGTAAAAATATATGTCTTTTGATCTTTCTGTTATTCACCACCAAATATTTTTTTTTTAAACTGGAATTTTAGTTTGGGTGACAATTTTTTTAAAATTTAATAAAATAATTATTAATATTAATAATAAGCGGCAACAATTTTTGAAAAATAATTTAGGTGACAGCATTCTTCAACATCACCATATGGCCCAGAGATTGTACTATCAGGTAAAAAAAAAATGGCGTTGACAAAGTTTCGTCATAAACATTTTAAAAAAAATAATTGGTGGACATTTTGAATAATAATTAGTCGATATTAATTACATAATAATTAAAAATTGCTAGTATTTTAGTTTGACCTTGTTGCCTCGTTTCAAAAAATATATAATGTCAAGGGTTTATATTTATTACCTATTAAACCACAACAGTTCTTAAATAATTCATGTTTCAGTGTTTCTGGGCAGCGAGTAACTGCTGTTTATATTTAATTTTCTTCTTTTAATCTTTACATCTCATTTCCACAAAAACCTAAACATCTCGGGATCTCCGCTAAGAATTGACATCATACAAGCATAACTCAGCTTAGACTTGACATACAGGAATGAAAGATGTACCGTTGGAAAGGGTTTTTCAATTCGTATGCAGCTGTACTGGTTTTATAAGGAAAAATAATTTTGACTACAGTTGCTACATAAATTAGGTACAGTTGGAAAGAGATTGTTTACAGCTATCTATCTCTGCTGGTTTTATTGGTATAAGAAAGCGACTACGGTGTTCGGCAATTTTGGTCTTTTGACAATTTCCGTTACCATGGAAACCGTTCGAAACTTGTTTGGGAAATCTCGGCTGCTTTCGGGATGGGTCCCAATCTGTCGTGAAATTTTGCGATTGGTGTGATTTTCACAGCTATAAATAGCTGAAAACGGCGCGAACGAACCCGATTAACAGCGCTTGTCTACGACAGCTGGACGTCCTCTGTTATATCAGTTTAATTAAAAATAGCGGTAATAAGTATTCAACGTTGGCTTTAGGCTTTAACATTACTCGTACTGGTAATGCTAGTTATAATTGAATTATCCGTCCAATTTTACATTTGTATATAAAATTTCTTTCTTATCAGTGGCTTTTTAGATTTACAGTGACATTTTTCAGGCAATCGCTATTATTCCGCTTTATCATGGCTGTGGAAATAGAGGTAAGTATGAATTCAAGGTTGGCTTTAGGCTTTAACATTACTGGTAATGCTAGTTATAATTGAATTCTCCGTCTAATTTTACATTTGTTTATAAAATTTCTTTCTTATCAGTGGCTTTTTAGATTTACAGTGACATTTTTCAGGCAATCGCTATTATGTGGCTGTGTCTCATTGTCTGCCAGCTTGTCCAATGAAAACAAAGCCAAAACGATAAGTGCGCAGTTTGGTTGCGCAGAGAAAACTTCTTGTTTCTGGGACGCAAGTTTTCGACAGCTGTTTTGTGCATCTCATCTCCACAAAAACCTACATATCTCAGCTCAGAAATGAAATATAAGCCTAAATGAGGTACCATTGGAAAGAGATTGTTTACAGAAAAAGCGCTGGTTTTATTGGTGTAGAGGGCATTTTGAAAATTTGACTAAAGTATCTATATAAGAACATTTTGGAAAATTTGACCAAAGTACGAGAGAATTAAAGTTACTTCAGAACCAACTCAACACACTTCAGACGTTGACTCCAGCCACAGGTGAAAATATAAGTATAAGTTATGTGAGGAAAGAATAAACAAATTCCCTCCATCCCAGACAGATGACTCAGACTGATGAAGACAATTTCAATTACCACGGTAAAGATAACTAGCAAAAAAATTCTAACCCAAAACACAGACACCAATGAACAGACTACTAAAACAATTACCTCGGCAAAGAAATGGGTAGAATTCACAAACTAAACAAGGAATAATAATAATTCAACAGCGACCGTCGGCGGACGTGAGGTTATTTCTCAGCTCGACCTTCGAGAAAGTATACTTCCGGGCACCAGATTTTTCTACCAGTCACAGCCAAATGTGCGGAATCCACCATCAGCCAAACTTGCTCACACACACAATACTCAAAGACACACCATATATTGACAGGTAAACAGACTGACAGATCATTGGCAACTTTCCGCCTTTCAAGACGATGGTGTTATATTGCGCTATGAGAAGGCATGAGACACAGCCCATGGCGATGGC